GTGGAATCACTCAAAAGCTCACGTGATTCGCAGCAAACAATGAACGTGTTTCTGCAGACCGAGCCAGTGGTAACCCCGCTCCACCGATGGCACGCGGTGCCTCCTTACCGCACCAGTGCCAACGCGCGCCCCCGCGGCCATCCTGGCTTAAAGCGTCGCATGAGGACGCACACACATGACCCTTCAGGGCGCCTCGGCTCATATGTGCACTCGCTTCCCGAGCGTTACACGGAGCAGCTGCACACAACGTGAACACAACACATGAGCTGTTTTCCCGCAGCAACACACAACGTCTTTCATGCTCGGGGACGCGCGTGGGTTTTTTCTCTCTCACTCAGCGCGCTCCAGTTCACATCAGCATGTATGTGAGTTTTCACAGCATAAATGCGTGCCCGCTTTATAGCTTATAAACGGGTGGCAATGAACGCGTGCTTCCAGACGGATGGGCGAACCGTTTTCATCCGGGATTCACGCTGCAGTTCAGCTCAAACCCCGGTGTGGAGGAACTCTGTGACGTTTTTTCTGTCATTTATGAACAGATCTCGTCCCCTCTAGCAGAAGCTCAGGAAATTCTGTTTTAAATGTAATTTCTAGAGTCTCGGATGGAGAGGAAACGCAAGGTCTCTCTTATCACTTCCTGGTCCCAATAAACTGGAAAGATGAGATTTATTTTAGATTGTCAATTTCTGAGCTGTGAGAAACAACACTCCATTATGCGCCTGAGCCGCTTTAATTCTGCGTTATCTGGACACCTGCTGCTGCTGAGCAGCTTGTACAGACAGGTGGCAGCTGTGCAACTCACGAGAATCGGTTGAGTGATATCAGCTGTTTTCCATCAGCAGACCTACGTCACACACATTTAACAAGCTGTGGGGCGCTGTGGTTCGCCACACAGCAGCCTTTTTAAATGTTTTTTGGAGTGTTGCACGGGATCTTTGAATGTGACTCAACACTGACCTTGAGCTGCAGAATCATCAGGGTTTTTGATTCTCAGACAGCAAGTGACTGTTGCATACATACTAGCAGGAAATGTATGCATTTTTCAACCCATGTGCCACATTGTGAGACAGATGCTGTGTGGGGCACACCCAATCTGCTCTCCATTGGAGTGGGTACATCTCATGTATTCCACCCAGAGCTAGGGCTCAGACACGGTAGAAATCCTGCCAGCGTCTGCGGACGTGTAACAACATGAGAGAACGCTCAATGTCAATTATAATTATCGTGGAGCCATAGGACGATCCACCACTGGGTGGACGTGCCTGCTCACAGCCTGTGGTCATAATGCCTTTCACCTTCTTCTCTCCCTCTGGTATCACGGTTTTCTGAACCGAGCTCAGGAGGAGGGACTGGCAGCCCCTCTGCCCCAAGTGCGTGAATGCATCATGGTTCCCAGGCCTACGACATTTGTTATCAGGGCGCTCATGGAACCTGCCGTGGACGGAGGACGCTTCCCTCCAGGCGGGAGGAATGATCAGGAATTAATCAGAATAGGCCAGCACCTGTGGTTTTGGCCACTGTGCGGGATAAACAGAAAGGCGTAGAGGCCACTTCATGTCCACTGAATGCATGTTGTTTTTTTCTGCAGCAGCCGAGGGACAGAAATCTGGTGTCCAGCACGACTATCGTATGCTGCAACCGTGTTTTCTTCTTGTCTCAAAGTTGTCGTAGACAGAACAACCTTTAATCATCCTCTGACGGAGCATTTTGTCTCAGATTGATATAGCAGCTGTGGGCCTGTTGTGACACGGGAAACGCTCAGTGTCAATTATGCGCTTCTCTGAGCCCACGAGACGAACCACCGCTGGGGGGTGGATGCGTTTGTCCACAGTCCATGGCCCAAAATGCTTCTGTACGCGTTTTTCTCCACCTCCTCTGATCTTACGGTTCTTGAACCGAGCTCAGGAGGAGGGATTGACAGCTCTCCTGGTGGTCCCGAGCGCGTGGGTGCACCATGGTTCCCAGCCCTGAAACGCCTGCTGTCGGGGTGCCCGTGGAAACTGCCGTAGAGGGAGGACGCTCTCCTTCCAGGCAGGAGGAGCGACCAGGAGTTACCCAGAAATAGGCCAGCACCTGTGGGTCTGGCCGTTGAACGAATCCACTTAGAGAGGATGGGTTGCCCACAGGATGTAATGCGCACAATTCAGGTTTCTCGTGGTGCATCTACCACAGCGATGTACACATCAAAGCGGACAGCTTTTCAGTGCTGGTGTACAGATAAGGGTGTAGAGGCCACCTCATGTTCTTTAGGTGGCATGCTGTTCTTTCTGCAGCAGCTGATGGACAGAAATTTGCATCCAGCAAGTTTAAAACGTACGCTGCAGCCATCTCTTCCTGACATGAAGGTTTCTGAGACAGAACAGGTTTTATCATCCGCTGATGAAGCGTTTTCTAAAAAGGTGTACAGAGACGCAGGCCTGTCTCACACCCACTTGTTTCCAGTGGGATTTAATACTGGTCCTGCAGGTCATGATCAAAGCTTCATTTGAGTCTTTGGATCAGGTTCCACTTAAATTCTTGTCTCTTTAAACAGCACTGCTGCAGGCTTTAACATCCGCTAAGAGAGTGAGTGTTTTTATCTGCCCTCTCTGTCGCTCCATCATGTCTCAGAAATTAGGCTGACGGCAGCTCAGCTGGGGTGCGCTAAGCCCAAATGTTACACATTGTGAGACCGCTGCTGTGTTGGGCACACCAAAATCTGCTCTCCATCAGAGCAGTGTACATCCCCAGTGTTCTGAACAGGGGGGGCGGATGTGGTGTCCAGGGACGGTCCGCGTCACGGGGACTGGAGCCTATATCCCGAGCTGATGGCTCAGACGTGCATACGATCCAGGATTCACGTGCTGCATCTACCACAGTGCTATACACATCAAAGTGGACAGCTTTTCAGCGCTGCTGTACAGAGAAAGGTATAGAGGCCACCTCATGTCCACTAGGCGACGTGCTGTCCTGTCCTTTCTGCAGCAGCTGATGGACAGAAATCTGGCATTCAGCACGATTAGAACGTACGCTGCAGCCATCTCTTCTTGTCACGAAGGTTTCGGGGACAGAACAGCTTTTAATCAACCGCTGATAAAGCGTTTTTTAAAAGGTGTACAGAGACGCAGGCCTGTTTTACGCCCACTTGCTCCACAGTGGGATTTAACGCTGGTCCTGCAAGCCCTTTGCTTTGCATGACGGGATAAACCCACCAGCGACAGCTCTTAAAGGGCTATGCCTATACTCATAGAATCTGGGGTTACAGTACGTAACCAACGATTTAGCATGAACTTTGATCTCATTCCACTTGTTTTTAATGTTACTTCCCCTTTTCCTGGCTGAGCCGGGTCATAACACAGAGTCAGAGCGCCAAGGCCCCCACCTTCGGCCATTGCCCATGCGGTCATGCACCCGACTCATATGGTGCAGGTGGTGGGCCCACAGGAAGGCAATCCCATGTTACTTGTTCGGGCTGAGCCTGACCGGGCCCCATATAGAGACTTGGTCACCAGGCACTTGCTGACGAGCCCCACCCCCAGGCCTGGCTCCAGGGTGGGGCCCTGATAACCCATGTCTGGGCAAGGGACACTGAGCTATTTATTTTTTACTGCCCATAATAGTCTTCTGAATCGCTCTTTGTCTGGCCTGTCACATAGGCCAAATCAGCCTTGGGAGATCCTACCAGGGGCAAACCCATTTAAACCATTTAAAGGCCTTTGCAGGTGTTTTGAGTTAATAAGCTGATTAGATTATGGCACCAAGTGTCTTCAATATTGAAACTTTTCACCATATTCTATTTCCTGAGATACTGAATTTGTGGTTTTCATTAGTTGTCAGTTATAATCATCAACATTAAAAGAAATAAACATTTGAAATATATCAGTCTGTGTGTAATAAATGAATGAATATACAAGTTTCATTTTTTAAATGGGATTATTGAAAATCAGCTTTTTCATGATAGTCTAATTTTATGACCAGTGCCTGTATACTTTTGTGGCTATCGGTACTTTTAAGAACAATTTATCTTCTTAGTACCCTGTAGCTAATGGTATGTACATACAGCAATATATTACATCACATCAGGTCACAGGTAATCTGAACATGAACTCACTGATATCAGAATACTAGCATTAATACATGTAGTACACATAATATTCCCTGTTTTTCCCCATTTGAAAAATGTTACTTTCCAGATTTTTCCCTGATACTTTTACTTTCTGCAGGTTACCTTTCAAAATAAATGAAGTTGAGAAAACAGATCAGCTGGAAAAGCAGTTTATTTTCAGATGGGAGGAGTGCGAGTCTGTCAACCCTTCACTACAAAAATAGATCCTGGTACGACCATTATTTATCCTCTGCTATATATTAACTTCTCAATATAAACCATGTTTACATGTTTGTTTACAAAACAAGCTGTGCTGATCACAGGAATGTTGTCAGTGGTGAAGAAAGAATAAGCTCAACATCTTACCAGCCTGCTGAGGTTTACATGAATGTTCTTTAAAACAAGCAGGATGCGACTGTTGGCATCAGACAAGGCACTGATGAGCAGCACTTTGGTCCTTCAGAGCAGACAGTTCTGCTCCGCTCACACGTGATTTATTCTAACAAAACTCAGAGAGGTCAAACAAACGAGTCCTCAAAGTGCAACAGTGTTACGTCCCTCACCTTCCTCAGAGACAGCTAATCCATACGCTCATTTAAATTAAGCTCATACAGGACTGACCTCAGAACACCTGACTATTGACGTTTGTTAAATAATATTTACATTTTTAAGCTGAGGTCTCAACATTCACAGACTTCAAGTATATCATCAGAATGGAAAAGCATGGAGCAGGTCAGAACCCCGCTCGGTTCTAATGTTCAGGCACAGAGTAAACCAGCTGCCGCACCTTCAGACTGCACACATAAACAGGTGGGGAGGTTTTGGCTCGTCTCGAGTCTGAACATCCAGCTCATATCAGCCATAAGAAGAAAAGCCCGTTTCACATTAAAACACTGAACAGAACATTTCTGCAGCTGATCCCGGACGCCACGACAGGAAGTTGGTTCAACACTTTGCCACCTTTCGCAAGCAGAGGGCGGAGCCAAATGTTTCAACAAGCTCCACCCAGCAGCAGACATTAGCTGAAGCGTGGGCAAAAAGTTCTCTAGGCTGAAGTTTTCACATTTCCTTTCAGCTGAAGTTGGTCTTGCGCAGGTGTCTGTTGGGGATTTCGATGGCGCTCACCTGTAAAGGCCACGAGCCGCCCATGATGCCGGCCTGGATGGCCACGCCCGTCACCACGGCCAGGTCAGGGTCTACAGATGTGTTGGGATCCTTCCCAAAGAACTCGCTGATCAGCCTCCTGATCCGTGGGATCCTGGTGGACCCCCCCACCAGAACAATCTCATCCACGTCCTCCTTTTCCAGGTGGCCCTCGACCAGCACGGTCTTCACAGGAGCCAGGACCTTCAGGAAGAGGTCCTCGTTGAGCTCCTCGAACAGCTGGCGGGTGACCTGGGTCTGGAAGAGGACCGGAGCAGTGCCTTCAGGGGACTGGGAGCTGCCGTGAAGGTTGAGGGGCACTCTGATCATGGCGCTGGGGTGGAGGGTGAGGTTGAGCTTGGCGGCCTCCACGGCCTGTCGGAGACGGTGGATGTCCTGCTTCAGGGTGGGGGGAACACCGAACTCCTTCAGAACCAGCTGGGTGGTGTACTGGAGCAGCCTCTGGCTGAAGTCCTGACCCCCCAGCTTGTTGTTCCCTAAAAGTTCACAAACTCAAGTTAAACACTTAAATTAAGAAACTAGAAACTGCAAACAGGGCAGAGGTGGAACCTAACATACATTTTTGCTTTTGTCTGTTAGCAAAATATCTGAAGAACCAATGGATGGATTTTGATGGAACTCGTGTGTAAATTTAGGACCGCTTAGGTTTTGGAATTAAGATAATTCAAGATGGTCACCACAGCCCAAGCCAAAATAAGTTGCTCAAACTGCATTATTTACACCAAAGTTAAATCAGGTCCTCTGGACTGTTTCTTTGTGTTGAAACCGGAGGAGTCGACGGGGGAGAGGGAGGACTCCAGAACCCATCTAATCACCATCAAACTGGTTGGCCCACTATGAGAGTGTGCCGCTTGTGGGACTCACGTTTGTTGCAGCTCCTCGGACTGATGAAGTCCTTTGGATGAAGGACGAAACGTTTCAACACAAAGAAAATGTCCAGGGGACCTGACTCTAACTTTATTGGATTTTTTAAATCTGGATTATTGAACATGAACTTTGATGCATAATTTACAGATCGAGCTAAACTTTGGTGGTAGTAGCTTAGAGACGACATCTACACATTCTCCGAGCACAAACATGTTTTCTCACATCACATGAAACTCGGTTACAAGGTCTGACCAACACCTCAACAACAGATAACCACAGAGAAAATGACACGAAGGACTTTTAAAAAAAAAGTTAAATCTGGTCCTCTGGACATTCAAAAAACAAAACAAAGCAAATCAACAAAAAATGTAGAAACGTTTCGTCTCTCATCCGAGAGACTTCCTCAGTCTGAGGAGCTGTACTCAGCTCAGTCTCTTAAATAGCACCGTCTCAGAGTGGATCAACCAGTGGATCAACCAGTTGATCTGGACTGAGGATCGACTGAGGAAGTCTCTCGGATGAGAGACGAAACGTTTCTACATTTTT